CCATCTCCTTTCACTAGACCCATCTAGACAAGATGAAAACTATTCAGTGGGGATACTACTCTTCCCTCCATACTCTGAAACTAAACTGCCTCTTGAAAACTTGCAAGCCAAACTTCATTCCTTTATAGACTCCCCCACCCAGCTCCCATTTTAGGTAGCCAATGTCTAAGTTGCCTGTTAGGCTGTATTATTACAGAAAAAGATTGCCAGGTATTTCTCCTATGAAGAAGTTAGCTTCTGAGCACTTAACCACTGTGCCACCAGGTCTCTTTTGCCAGAAATAAGAGGGTTTTTCTCTTCATTCTTCACTATAAGAATTTGATGGTGTTCCTGGAAGTAAAACTTAGGAAAGTGTACTAGTTCCCCTAAGACTGTCCTCACATCACACCCCAATAATTTTTGGCTCTCAGGCTAGTTCACAGTAAGCTGCTAGCATTTTGTCAATTAAAATTTTGAAGTCCCTACTAGCATCAACACCAACTCCAGTTACAGGTGTTTGTGGGCTTCTGCTCTTGGTAAACTTTCATTCACTGTGTCTGCCTATCTTTGCACTTTTCTGGGTAGCAATTTGCTCTGTGACTTTAATTACCTGTTGTTGTTGTTGTTGTTGTTGTTGTTATGTGCCATGGAGTTGGTTCCGATTCATAGTGACCCTGTACAGGGTTTCTGAGGCTGTAAATCTTTACTGGCACGGAAAGCCTCATCTTTCCTCCGAGGAATAGCTGGTAGTTTCAAACTGCTGACCTTGTGGTTCTCAGCCCGATTCATAACCACTATGCTACCAAAGCTCCTGGTCAATTCCCTCATAGATCTCAGAAAAGTTGCTGATTTACAGGGGGTGGGAGGTTGTTTCATATTTTTTGTTTGTTTGTTTGGAAGATAGGAGTGGAAACTTGTAAACTTTTTACATGTCAAACTGGAAAACAGAAGTCTCTAGTTTTAATATTTTAAATTAGACATGATGGTGATTGAATACATTGAGATGCAAGTAGACTGTTAGAAATGTACCTTTACAACCTCAAAATAAGGTCACTTTAAAAATTGAGCATTGTTGGTAAATGCATGGGAGATAAGTCTATGAGTGTGTAAAATACAAGCCAAGGAGAATATTTACTTTGATACAGTGGTTAAGAAGAAAGCTTTGGGAAATATAAGTATGTCAGGGGCAGGGAGAGAAAAAGGAGTAAAAGAAAAATGAGAAAAAATCATTGGGAGTTAGATTTAAGAAGAGTAGTAACAGAAGCATAGCCAGGAGTTTTGTAGAATAAGATATCGACTAGTGTCTGATTCACTTTCTCTTCTCACTAAAACCAAACCCAAACCCAAACCAACTGACATCAAGTTGATTCTTATTCATAACAACTCTATGTAGATTTTCTGAGGTTGCAAATCTTTACAGGAGCAGAAACCTCATTTTTCTCCCAAAGAGTTGCTGGATGGTATGTTTGAACTCGTGACCTTGTGGTTAGCAGGCCAGTGTTTATTCTACAGTGCCACCAGGACTCCTTCTTCTTACGATAACAACTATTAAAAAGGAGAGAAAGGATGCCAGCCTTCTAACACCATTATAAAATAAGCATAATGGCCAATAGATCCTAGAATGAATGCCAATTAATGAATTTGTTGTTAGATCTAGTGTTGTAGACAATATCTCCTGTCCACTGTATGCTCCACTTTGGACTTAAAAAAATCCTTAAGAGCCTGGAGAAAAGTTACCTACATGCTTCACTGGAATTGTTTCCTGAATTGGCTGAGGTCATTTAAATCCCATTCATCTTTTCTGCACTCTCTTACTACATTAACTTTTGGATGATGATAGTTCCCAAGTCTCTCTCTCTCTCTCTCTTTTTGTTTTTTTTTTTTTTTTGGCTTCAGTAAAATGGTGAGGACCTGATGAAATGGATGTGAATGATTCTTTAAATCCTGTGATGACGTGAAAGAAGCATATTCAGAGTGATTGTAGGGTGGCGAGATTCTAACTTTAAAATTCTCTCAAACAGTCAGATAAGGGGAGCAGAAGTCTCATCAGTCAGCAAAACCAGCAGAGCTACACAAGCAATAATGTAATATTGTTGTTGCTATTAAGTGCTGACAAATCAATTCTATTGCATGGTGTCCCTGTATAGAGTTTCCAAGGAGCAGTTGGTGAGCTTGAACCAATGACCTTGTGGTTCAAATCAATTTTACAGTATAGCACATTAATTCACAGTGCCCCACACCAGGACTCCAATAGTGTAATATAAGCAGTATAAATATTTATCAAACATACAATCCAGGGTCTGAGATGGTTATATGTGTAGTTCTAGCAACATGCACTCAAATAGAAAACGGGGCAAATGAAACCATACATACCCTATTGATGTGCAAACAACAGATATATAAAAGTCTAAAGTGGGACTTCTCACAATTAAATGGATAGAATAACAACTGGGGGCTTATCAATGACCTTTTTTTAAAATGAATATATCTCTCAGGATGTAGAATAATAAAAAAGCTTATGAAAAATCTTTATTAGGACAGGCAATGTATTTTAAACAACTGCTTTAGTTCTTGATGAAACTATACGAAGTTGCAAT